TCTCCCCGTAGCCTCCTTCCCTCCAGAAGGTTATAAACCAACTCTGTAACTGCTGACTTTAGCAAAGCATCAGCAAACTAGACAACAAGGCCTAAGTCTTATGCATGTAGGCCGCTTACAACATTGTTAACTTTAACCCTTAAGGCATCACTAACGCTGTTTCAGGAGACACCCACCTCTCTTCCCTCTGTAAAAGTCCAAAAGGAAAGCTGATCTCTAAATAAGTACCCAAATTTTACATTTAACTGCCACTTGAGAGAGAACTCAGCTTAACTGCTGCTTTTTCTTCCCCTTTTTTTTCAGGTCGCTTCTTGGGAGAAGCAAATTTACACATGCTGCCGAGACGGGATAGTGAGGAGATACCAACTTTCCGACATTTAAGCGCTCGGATCAGCCAAATAGTGGAGAGAGACGTGTCAAAATAGCTCTTCCAAGCTTATTGTCCTGCACAGCGTGTTTGGGGGTGTGTGTGTGTGTGTATAGAAGCTTCTGAGGTATGGAGAAGTTTTTTGTGATGACCAGGCTCTCCACAGGGTTTTTTGGTGACAGATAATTATTTCTTATTACAGCACAACTTTGATCGTTTTTAATTTGGAGAGCGGCTCTGGGGCGTTAGGGAGGATCTTGTGTTGCAACAATATTTTTTTTTTTTTTTTCCCCTACTGCTGAAAAGCTGCTGTTTTCTGAGGAAGGGGGAGGGCAAGAAATAAAAATAAATTGGAGGTGGGGGCGATGATGGCGACTGTACCGCAGTAGGGACTGAAATAAAGTGACTGGTTTGATAACGCTTGTGTGGAAAAGAAATTTTCCAAGAGAACTGCTGTCTGTTTAAAAAAAAACCAAAACCAAACAAAAATACCACAACACAACAAAAAGAAAAACACCCAGCAAAAAGGTGAGAAGCGGTGGCTGGCGTGTGAGGGGGCGAACTACAACTCCCAGCGTGCCCCGCGCGGGGCGACCGGAAGTGGCGCGGTGTCCATAGCAACGGCGGAGCGGGCCCCTCCTTTCCCCTCCTTTCCCCTCCTTTCCCCTCCTTTCCCCTCCTTTCCCCTCCTTTCCCCTCCTTTCCCCTCCTTTCCCCTCCTTTCCCCTCCTTTCCCCTCCTTTCCCCTCCTTTCCCCTCCTTTCCCCTCCTTTCCCCTCCTTTCCCCTCCTTTCCCCTCCTTTCCCCTCCTTTCCCCTCCTTTCCCCTCCTTTCCCCTCCTTTCCCCTCCTTTCCCCTCCTTTCCCCTCCTTTCCCCTCCTTTCCCCTCCTTTCCCCTCCTTTCCCCTCCTTTCCCCTCCTTTCCCCTCCTTTCCCCTCCTTTCCCCTCCTTTCCCCTCCTTTCCCCTCCTTTCCCCTCCTTTCCCCTCCTTTCCCCTCCTTTCCCCTCCTTTCCCCTCCTTTCCCCTCCTTTCCCCTCCTTTCCCCTCCTTTCCCCTCCTTTCCCCTCCTTTCCCCTCCTTTCCCCTCCTTTCCCCTCCTTTCCCCTCCTTTCCCCTCCTTTCCCCTCCTTTCCCCTCCTTTCCCCTCCTTTCCCCTCCTTTCCCCTCCTTTCCCCTCCTTTCCCCTCCTTTCCCCTCCTTTCCCTTCCTTTCCCTTCCTTTCCCTTCCTTTCCCCTCCTTTCCCCTCCTTTCCCCTCCGTAGCTATCGGAAACTGGCCTTGAAGAACCACCCATTAAAATGCAAGGAGCCCTGGGCGCCGGAGAGGTTCAGGCAGCTGGCAGAGGCCTACGATGTGCTCAGCGACCGTAAGTGGGGGGACGGTTCTCTTCCATGGAGTTTAGGGGCAGGAGGGGCTGGACGGGGGGTGAAGCATCTCTGCTCCGGCCAGAGGTGTGTGAGGGCTGAACCCCTGGTCGCCGGCACACCCAGGGAGGTGGCTGCTGCCCTGCGCCCCGCAGCCAGGCTGATCACCTGCACGTATCCCCACTTCCATCCCAATTTGCTGTTCTCAAGGCGGCAGGGGATCCCCCTCTCCAGTCTCCACCCAGGCAAAGCCTGGATCTCAGGTTCTCCCCCAGCATGGGAGGAGAACGTGGCCATTCCCAACTCCCTCTTGTTCTCTAAAGCCATGAAGAAAGGCATCTACGACAAATTTGGAGAAGAGGGTCTCAAAGGTGGCATCCCCTTGGAGTTCGGTGGCGAGAACCCCTGGACCGTCGGCTACGTGTTTCACAACAACCCCAACAAAGTCTTCAAGGAGTTCTTTGGTGGAGACAACCCCTTTGCGGGTAGGTAAGGGGACTCGGAGAGGTGGCCCAGGCCCCGTTGGTGGCTGCTGTGTTGCAATGGCCACCGCCAGCTCTGAGCTTTAAGCCTTACGGGGATATTTCCCTGTCCAGCCCCGCGCGGGTCTCCCTCTGGTGCTGCTGGTCCCCAGTGCTTGGAGGTTAGATCCTGCCTTCCCCCAGTCTTGGGGGTGCACGGTCAGGCTCTTGGCTCTCCTCAGCTACCGTTGTGACCCTTTTCTGGGAGGATTTCCATCAAAAAGAGGGGTCAGGTTGGCAAGGCTGCTGTAAACACGAGAGCAAGATGAAAACACTTCAGCTGGGGGAGGAAGGTGGCTTCAGGCAGAAGCAGATGGGAGGTTTCTGGGTGGCATATTTGGGGTGCTCAGCTTCTGCGATAAGGAAACCCTCCGACCTCTGATCCGAGTGAGGTGTCCCCCCCCCCTTCTGCTTGCTCATGCAGAGTTCTTTGCCGAGGACGGCTCAGAGTTGATCCTGCCCTTCGGAGGGCTGCGAGGACGAGGAGCGATGAAGCAAGACCCCCCGATCGTGCGGGATCTCTACCTCTCCCTTGAAGACCTGTTCTACGGCTGCACCAAGAAGATTAAAATCTCCCGCAGGGTAGCGGCGGTGGGGGTGAAGGGGGAGCGCGCTCGGCAGGGTGGCGAATTTTGGGCTGGACTCCCCTCAGTGTGGGACGTTTCGGCAGCAGAGCCTGAGGCTTTAGGGCTGGTCCCACTTGGAGGGGGCTCAGCAGACCGCGGCACTCTACACCTGAGCCGTGGAGAGGGATCTGAACCAAACCCAGCACAAACGCCAGCAGGATCCGAACCGGTACCCTCCTCTCTCCAAAAGGAATTCAGCACAAGAGGCGATGCGAAGGCTGGTGGGAAGGCAGGGCTGATTTTGGAGCAGGGCCGAGTGCGGGAGCACGCTGTGGTTTCATTTTCATACTGGGCTGTGTCTCCTTTCTGCTCGCGGTGGCCTGCGTCCCTCCTCTCGCTGTCCCGACTGCCCTGAGTTTCTCCTGCTCGTTCTGATCCGGTTTCTACCCGCAGCTGCCTTGCTGTGGGGTACGAGCCGTCCTCACCCTCTTTGCTGCCGGCTCGCACGCAGCTGGATGAGCAGTGTGGTTATAAACCTCTCGCTTCGGGCACCTTGGTGTCACAGATCACCTCTCTGTGGGGGTGACAGCCTCCGGGGGGTGACAGCCCTGCCCAGAGGGGCTTGAGGATACCAGGGGGTTAAAAGCTGGCCATGAGCCGGCCATGGGCGCTGGCAGCCCAGAAGCCAACCGTGCCCTGGGCTGCATCCCCAGCAGCGTGGCCAGCAGGGCGAGGGGGGGGATTCTGCCCCCCTGCTCTGCTCTGGTGAGACCTCACCTGGAGCCCTGCATCCAGCTCTGGAGCCCTCAGCACAGGAAGGACATGGACCTGTTGGAGCGGAGAGTTGGGGGTGTTCAGCCTGGAGAAGAGAAGGCTGCGGGCAGAGCTGAGTGCGGCCGGTCAGGGCTTAACGGGGGCTGGTAAGAAAGGGGGGGACGGACTTGTTAGTTCTTCTAATCCCCCATCCACCCCCCAGGTGATGAACGAAGATGGTCTAACGAGCACCATCAGAGATAAGATCCTAACGATCGAGGTGCAGCCGGGGTGGAAGCAGGGCACCAGGATCACCTTTGAGAAGGAAGGAGACCAGGTAATGACCCTGACCTGAAGTTCCGGGCCAGGTTTCCTTGGGACTACGCACTCTTGGCAGGTTTCCCAATCCTGCCGGTTGTGGGCAGTCGGTGGCACGGCTAAGGGGGCGATTCAGCGTCACTGTGCTCAGACACGCTCTGAGGAGCCCTTTCTGCCCTGATCTGCCTTCAGACAGATAACAATTAATAATGGAAAGGGATGGTTTTCTGCCTGTCGTCACCTTCGCGAAACCCGCTCTGATTTTCCACGAGTCTTTCATCAAAGACTTTTTTTTCTTAAAGGGAGAAAATTATTCCCATCTCCCCAGCCAGCTGAAAGCAGCCACAGGGGGACAGGCATTTGCCTCACCGTGCCCTCTGTAAAATCACTTGGGTTACACCAGACCGTGTGCAGGTATCTTCATTTCCCCCCTCCCCTCGATTTTCAGGGCCCTAACGTCATTCCAGCCGACATCACCTTCGTTGTCCAAGAGAAACTCCACCCGAGGTTTAAAAGAGCCAACGATGACCTTGCTTACATGGCCACCATCCCCCTGGGAAAGGTAAAGAGCCAAGCGTGGGGCACGGAGCCAGCCCCAGCTTACGTTTGTCCTCTGGGGCTGCC